ATTTATTGTAATTCACAGCATATCATATGTAGAATATCAAAAGTTTAACCTTCACTTTTATTTAATTATTATGCCTCTCTTTAATACTTTTTCCCAAGAATTCCACACTGTCCTAATTGCTCATATATTGCAGATAATGGTCTCATTACCATCTCATAACTTTTATTTTCAATAATATATAATCAGAGATGTTATTTCTTTATTTAGTTGGAGATTTTCAATATCTTGGAATAACCGAAGTAGCTACTATTAATATATGTCAGATGACAAACTTCTCAGGTCTTACCTAACACTGGAGTTAGTTTAAATAACCCCAACATAGGGGAAGAGTTGTAACAGTAGGAGTAACTATTTAAATCAAAGTCAAAATATACTTCCAGAACACTTCCTCAATGTACTGCAATCCCACCAAATATGTGACATGGTACATGCTTCTCCCCAATTACTTTAGCATCTATCGGCTGTACCTGGAAACATCTTTTGAACTCCGGTTGATACTAGATACCAGCTTTACAGAATTTTAAAGTGATTTTCAAAATGTTTCGCACACAGTCATCTCCTGGAGGGCATTTATAATATTGTACAATTCAGATATATGTAGAAATAACTGCAGTTCTCTTTCTCAGGACAACATAAACTCCGCCTTTTGACCTGAGCTAGATTATAAATAGTAGTAGCAAACAGATATAATATGGATCTGATTGGGATTATTCAAATAAATGTTTTCTAAATGACTTAACTGTAAAGAATCAGATTTTTTTTATCTATATTTGAAATATTAAATGTTTTCTGTAATTTAGATGTTATTGATTTTACATTGTGAGAGCAAGGAATCATGAGTTATATCTGTTTTTCCAGAATGTCAAATGAGAGTAAGGCATTTAAAAAAACGATTTAAAAGTACACTATAGTCGCCAGAACAACTACCACTTAATAAAGTTGTTCTGGTTAGTATAGTCAGTCCCTGCTAGGTTTTTGCAGTAAACATGATCTTTTCAGAGAAAAGGCAGTGTTTACTTTACTGCTTAGGGGCACACTTTCAGTGGCCACTACTCAGCTACTAGAGGTGCTTCCTGGGGCCTTGTGACCATTCAGTGTCTCCACCCTTTGCATGTAGACACGGAGCCTTCATCATAGAGATGCATTGAATTAATGCATCTCTATGAGGATATGCTGATTGGCCATGGTGGCGTTTGGCTCAGCCCCCGACCGGGTCCTTGACTGAGATTATCAGAATTGACCATCTCCATCCACTTCTGTTGAGGTCTGCCAAGGATGCAGATCAGGGGCAGAGCCAGCTGCAGCAGACTGGAATAAAGGTAATATTTTTCTATATTTAGGGGGGACCAGATAAACTAGATAGTGTTTTTAACATTATAGGGTCAGGAATACATGTTTGTGTTTCTAACCCTATAGTGTTCTTCTAAATGTTTTATGGAAAATAGAAAATACCATATTCACAAAAAATTGAATCCATGGCATTTGATGAGCAGAAAAGTAACGGCAAACTGCAAAATAAAATGCTAGTATCAAGTCTTTGCAAGAGAAATTATCTTTGCTTGGTTACATGAAGTGAAAAACTTACAAATCCACGCTTGAATAACATATAAATCCACTGAAAGTTTATAATCTTAACATTAATGTTCTACATTATATATAAACTTTAAATTAAAATCGATTGCGTGGAACATTAGCAAAATATATGGAGTATCATGTAAATATCTCTTACAGAGATTTTCAAAAGTGTATAAATTATCATGTATCACGGCTTATAAAACAGGTAAAGATGAAGAGTTACCAATCAGGTATATTTCGTCCATGTCCGCTGCTCCCAATGCCATGTGTAGTAATTGCATGTAAATTCTTATCTTTCCTCAGCTCTTGCGGCCCACAGGAATAAGCACAGGATACCAAACCTTCCACCATATTCACGATCCAGCTTGGAGAAAGCGAGACCAGAAAAGGGTTGCAGCTCAAAAACAGGTAATATTTGTGCATGATCATTATGGGTAGTGTGTATATTGTATCTTTAAATGAACACTCCAAGCACAACTTTAGATTAATTTCTTTTCATTTTTGGTGTACAGATCATGGAGTCTCACGGTTCAATTCTCTGCCATTTAGAACATAAATCACTTTGTTCATGCAGCCCTATCCACATCTTCCCGGCTGACTTACACAGCCTCTGTACACACTTCCCGTGAAGAGAGATCCTATTTTTTAACTACCTTTTACTTCACAGTGTGTTTATTTATTTTGTATTTCTTATCTGCTCTGTTAATAGACTTCAAGAGCCTCCTGTGTGTGGTTAAAATTAAATTAACAGAGCTGGCTATGAGAATTTATAAAGGAAATACACTGTGCTGATTGAAAAGTAAACCATTTTTTCCTCAGTAAACAGGGTGGTGTGGCACTCAAGGTTATCACTAGCTACAGATAAACAGCACCAGGATAGAGATCCACAGACCCTTACTGTAAACTCAAAGTATAACCCACAGGTTCTATTCAGAAAAATGTATTGGTGCACATAGGATACAACAAAAATATGCAACGTTTTGGCCTGCATGGACTTAGCCATCCATTTAAAAAAAAAAAATTTTCATGGAGGCTGTGTGCGACTCAGACAGGGGAGTTGTGATTAAACTCATACATGGCAGATAATTGAGCAAACACTGAGCTACATTAAGCTAAAGTTGTTTTGTTGCTTAGTATCCCTTTATCAAAGGCTATGTCTGTATTTGTGTATGAATCTGTAAGTGCTATTCCTCAGTTTACTAGTCTTGTTATCTTTCTTTTTGGATGTCTTCAGGAGCAATTTAAGGTGGACCATGAGGGAGGTCTTCACAATGTCCAGTATCGTGTGGATTCTCGGTCCGAGATCACCATTGGTGGTGCTCCTTGCACTGTGCTGAATGTGATGCTGGAGTGTGACCTGGATAAGACTCCATGGTGTGTTTTGAGCTGAGCTCATGTATCTTCTTCCTCAATGGACTCTTCATAGAGACTATAGATCTCCCAAACAGACATTCGTCTCTGTAGCTAATCATGAACTGTAAGAAATTTTATATATTATAATAAAAAATGTGATAAATTGCCAGGACTTTGATATAGTTTTCTACAATAAAACATTAACTGGATATTTGCAGGTCCAGGGTTGAACCTCTTTACTTCCCCCAATGCCAGTTTCCTTAATGTGCCCAGCCCTTTCTATATAATTACAGTGTTTGACAGTTATTGATGTGCAGCCAAGGACTCACGATAACTATACAAGAAAATAAAAAATGAGGTAGGTATAATGGAAGAATATGGATGTGTTGGTGTGAAAATTAGACTGATGGGCATAACGCGAGCAAATGGAGGGAGGGTTGGACATAACGGGAGCAAATGGAGGGAGGGAGGGTTGGACACATCACTCACCGGTGTACAGACACTGACACACACTTGCAGTCATACATTTACACACCTACACAGACAAGTTATGAATTGCAATGTTAGAAGCAGAATTTCTTTTCCTGGGTGTTTCACGGTCCTCTGTTTGTGAAGAGAGCATGAGATGTGATATTACCACAAATTCCTGCTCCTTCTCTCCACAAAGAGGTCAGCACAGTCATGGGCAAGCAGGGTCAGGCTGTTAATAAAAACCAGCCCCTGAAACAGTTTTATATCAGCCCTGGAAGGATAGTGTAAAACCAAATTTAGCCCTGCGCTCAAACTACCACTACTCCTGGGCGCCAGCAGTGCTGCAACATACATCAGCCCAAAATTCATAGAATAAATAAATACCTGCACACTATCCCAAATCCCTATGCATATTTACATAACTGGAGTTTTTTTTGTATCACTCCAATGGCCATTAAAGTTTAAACTCACCTGCGATTAAACTCTGCAATGGCTCTGTGTGTCTGTCGGACGCATGAGTCGATTCACGCCGAAGTCAAGTGGTGCAGCAACGTGGGAGCCGAATATTAGGTGGCTGCAAAACAGCTCCTTCTCTTTGCCCAAACTGGCAAATTTACTCCATTTATTCGCTATGGAGGGAGGTATCTCTGTTGCTACTCTGGGGAAAAAAAGACTAAAATAACCATTTTAGTAACATAGCAGATGGCTGTGCGATGTGCTGATTTCTTCTGAAGTTGATTAGTTTCTAAATGTTTATTTTTATTAAATGATTTAAATGTTAAATTGAAAAGTTTTGGATTTCTTGAAACAGCAGCAGGTAATTGAGCCAGTCAGCATTTGTATACTATCTGTTTTAGAGCTGTGTTCTTTTAGTGTATGATAGTAAGTGTTCTAGGAGTTAGTCTTTTCATCGTACTGTAAAGTAAGGGAGAGTTTATGGGGAAAAAAAACACATTTCAATTTGGATTTAGCATTTTACTGTGTTGGGCTAGTCAAGATGAGAGCAGAAAATTATTGGCTGAATTAGTTTAAAAAGTCACAAACTATTCCATTTGTTGAATTGCCAAAAATCAGCTTTACTAGGGAAACCAAAGGAATGTATAAACAAGTCTAATATACAAACCTATTATTTTAAATACTTAAATTCAGCCAGGTGCCCACCAGTACATTTGTAAGTTGTTTTTTTTTTTTTTTAAATCTTTATTTTTGTGTTGAGATAGAAGTAAACCATCAGTACAGTATACCAGAGCTTGCGCAGAAGCCGTATTGAGGTAGGGTGTCTAAGGTACATCATAGTTTGGGTAAATTTTGCTTAACATTCCTGCGGTGTTTCTTGATACAGTACAGCGCCTTTTTATGCAGTCAACATTTTGTTTTAAATAGTTTTTTCTTGTCACAATGTATATGCGGCCATCAAACATATTATTGTAAAAGCATATGGTCGCCTATGCAGAGACGTATATATTGAGACATGTAAACGGAACATGTGTAGTTAGTTTAGTGAGGCAGGTGTGTACTCTGCGAACTTTAAGACATATTGCCTGGGCTGGTAGAACCTAGCATGGTTTGGGTTTGTGTATTTGTCTTGTGTTAGCTGGTTTGTGTAGTTGTTTTGTGTTAGCTGGTTTGTGTAGTCGCCTCACGTTAGCTGGTTTGTGTGGTTGCCTCACGTTAGCTGGTTTGTGTGGTTGCCTCGTGTTAGCTGGTTTGTGTGGTTGCTTTGTGTTAGCTGGTTTGTGTGGTTGCTTTGTGTTAGCTGGTTTGTGTGGTTGCTTTGTGTTAGCTGGTTTGTGTGGTTGCTTTGTATTAGCTGGTTTGTGTAGTTGCTTTTTTGTTAGTTGGTTTTTATTGTTGTCTTGCGTTAGCTAGTTTGTTGCAAGTATGATTTTATTCCATCTGTGTAATTCTAGCGTATACATCCTGTGTAGTCGTTTTGGTGCCTGTGCATTGTATATCTGGTATGAACTTGCACACGTTTAGCCATCGGGTGCGACCATTGCGATGGTATATTGTTCCCATCATCTAGGTGGGTAATGTCAGTATTTGTGCTGATATTGGCGGTGCACCTGTTCATATTTGTTTTGAATAGTGAGAGCGTTTTCGTGGCTCAATAATTATAGGTTCGTGTGATCGTGTCCGTGTGGCGATGATGCATTTGCGTAGTTTAATAGGGGTGGTTTGTTGGTTTATGCCTGTGTCTAACCAAGCAGGGCTGGCTCTGTCTTGGTGATGATGGTGTATGCATGTGTGTGTAGTGTTGTGGTAGTTGAAGGGCTATGCAGCCTCGTATGTTGCGTGTGTATTCTGTAGTTCTTCTCCCGTTTAGTGTGGTTTTGGGTGGTCAACATTTTGTATTGTTACATATAGTATAAACAATAATCAAACAACAAAGAATAAAGTAACATGTTATATAATGAAAAATTTTGGCTCCATGCATTTAGAGGTGTATTCGTTTTGCTCTTGCTGCTGTGAGTGGTTAGGTCTTGTTATATGGAAGGGGACCATTGTTGGTGTGTTTGTATACCCTTTGACTCTCCAGTTTAGGTGTCATATTGTTCTCACAACTCCCATGTCCTACTAAAGCTGGAGGTGGTGTTACACACTTGTGCTGTGAGTTTGTCCATATGGTAATTGTCCCTGATTTTGGTGAGTACTATAGATATGTGTGGTATTTCTGAGCTTGCCCATTTTTGCGCCAGTGCTCTTTTTGCTGCTAAATTTATCATGTTTAGTAGTTTTTGCTCATATCTGTTGAGCCCCTCTGTGGGTCTGGAGAGGAGGCAGCTCCAAGGGCCTAACTCTATAGGACTCGGGTGCTTATAGCTGTTACTCTTTCCCAGTATTCCTTGACTTTTGGGCAGTGCCACCACATATGCATAAAGCTCCCTTTGTTCCCGCATAGATGCCAGCAGGTGTCTGTGGGGCTCAATGCATGTGATATTGTTTTACCGGCGTCATATACCACCTAAATAGCGTCTTGTAACTCTGTTCCTGTAATGTAACACACATGGACATTTTGGAGTACATTTTTAAGTTTTGCTAGAAGATGGTCCTAAAAACAAAAGTAAAGGTGAGATTGATATTTTTTTTTTCTACTTGATACACATCTGTCAAAGTGAAATTCTTGCCACACATAATAAAGTCTTGTTAGACAATCATGCAAACTCTGATTCTGCAGGTCAGAAAAACTATTGTATGGTATGAAATAGTAATATGTTGTATAGAGTTGAGCGAACCTGAACTGAAAAGTTCGGGTTCGTACCGAACATTACGTTTTTTTTGTACCCCAGACCCGAACGCGGACATATCACTGTATGTTCGGGTTGCAGTTCGGTGTTTGGCGATTTAATGACGTGTTTTGAAAGGCCGCAGGAGAGCCAATCAACAAGTGTTTGACTTGTGTGCCGTTAGAAGCCTGCACAGCCATGTGGCTGCTCACTGTTAAAAAAAAAAAAAAAATTCCCTCCACCAGCGACACGCAAGTGGGGACTTTTAATAAAAAATAACGAGTGAGGATCCTTATCTAAATACCTATTTTTAAAAAAAAAAAAAATAGACTTACCATTTGATGTCTTCTTTCTTCTAAACTCTTCTTTTTTCAGCCCCCAAAAAGGCCAAATAAAAATCCATAATAACCGACGCATTTAAAAAAAAAAAAAAAAAAAAATACCTCTTACCCCCATTTTACTTTTGCAGCCCTCTAGCCCTTTCCAGGAGTTTTTTTTAGAGCCATTTATGTGCCCAAAAGTTCGGGTCTCCATTGGCTTCAATGGGGTTCGGGTTCGGGGTCAAGTTCGAGCCCGGACCCGAACATCCAGGTGTCCGCTCAACTCTAATGTTGTAGTTGGATGAAATATTGACACACATTTTATTATTATGATATTTATAGAGCGCCGTCAAATTCCGCAGCACTTTACAATGGATGGACGAACAGACCTGTAGTTGTAACCAAACAAGTTGGACACACAGGAAAAGAGGGGTTGAGGGCCCTGCTCAATGAGCTTACATGTTAGAGGGAGTGGGGTAAAATGACACAAAAAGGTAAGGATAGTATTAGACTAGTGACACTTGCAGAAGAGGAATCAGTGAGGAGCTATTAACAGTTTAATTGATACGCTTTTATGAAGAAGTGGGTTTTTAACGATTTTTTGAAGGAGTGGAGACTGGGTGAGCATCTAACGGAGGAGGGAAGCGAGTTCCACAGGAACGGTGCTGCCCTCAAGAAATCTTGAAGGTGAGCATCAGAGGTGGGAGTACGGACAGAAGATAGACGTAAGTCTTCAGCAGATCGTAAGTGCCTAGACGAGACATACTTGTGTATAAGGGAGGACAGCTAGGTGGGAGCAGCATTATGTAGAGATTTGAAAGCAAGAACCAGAATTTTAAATTGAGCTCCATATTTTATAGGAAGCCAATGTAGGGACTGACAGAAGGGTGAGGCATGGGAGGTGCGGGCGGACAGGAAGATGAGCCTCGCCGCCGCATTCATTATGGACTGTAACAGCGCAAGTTGGGAGCAAGTAAGACCACTGAGAAGCGGATTACAGTAGTCAAGGCGAGAAAAGACAGTGGAATGGACCAACACCTTAGTCGCATCTGGCGTTAAGTAGGGGCGGATGCGCGCAATGTTTTTGAGATGGAAATGACAGGATTTGGCGATAGATTGAACTTGAGGCTTGAAGGAGAGGTCGGAGTCAAAGAGAACACCTAGGCAGCGAGCCTGCGTGGTGGAGCTGATGGTAGCACCGTTGACTTGAAGGGAAACAGACACAGTAGTAACAACACTTGAGGGAGGAAAGACCAGAATTTCAGTTTTGGTCAAGTTTAGTTTAAGGAAGTGGGCAGCCATCCAGTTAGAAACAGCAGAGAGGCAGTCAGAGACACTAGTCAAGAGGGACGGGGAGAGATCAGGAGAGGACACGTAGATTTGCGTGTCATCTGCATAGAAATTATAATGGAAGCCAAAGGAGCTAATGAGTTTACCAAGGGAGGCAGTATAGATGGAGAACAGTAGGGGACCAAGGACTGAACCTTGGGGGACACCAACAGAGAGGAGTTGGGTAGAAGAAACAGAGCCAGAGAAAGAAACACTGAAAGAGCACCAGGAGAGAGCAATATCTTGTAGGCCGATACTGTGGAGGATGAGAAGAAGCTGTTGATGATCAACAGTGTCAGAAGCCACAGACAGATCAAGGATAATTAGGATAGAGTAGTGACCACTAGATTTTGCAGCGAGTAGATCATTGGATACTTTGGTCAGTGCCGTTTCCACAGAGTGCTTAGCGCGGAAACCAGACTGAAGCGGGTCTAGCAGAGAGTTGGACTTGAGGAAGTCTGTCAATCTCGCATACACAATTTTTTTTCAAGGATCTTGGATGCAAAAGGAAGTAGCGAGATAGGACAATAGTTGGATGGGGAGTTAGGGTCAAGATTGGGCTTCTTTAGAATTGGGGTTACAGTTGCATGTTTGAAGGGCAATGGAAATATACCAGAGGGGAGAGAGAGATTGAGAATTTTGGTGAGAGGTGAAGAAAGAGAAGACAGAGTACGGATGAGATGCGAGGGAATTGGATCTAGGGAGCAGGTGGTGTGGCGGGAGGACTGGAGCAGAGCAGAAACCTCTTCCAATGTAGCGGGTGCGAATGAACATAGAACAGCAGAGGGAGTGAAGTTAGGGGAAGTATTGTAAGGGGAAGAAGAAAGATGAGAGATCTCTTCTCTGATTGTAGAGATCTTGTCAGTGAAGTGAGTTGCAAAGTCTGAGGCGGTCAAATTAGTAGGTAGAGGAGGAACAGCAGGGCGAAGAAGAGAGTTAAATGTGTGCAATAGTCGTTTGGGTTCGCGGGAGAGTGTGGTTATGAGGGTATTGAAGTAATTAACTTTTGCAGAGGAAAGAGCCAAGCTGTATGAGCTCAGCATAAATTTATAGTGGAGAAAGTCAGATGCACAGTGAGACTTTCTCCAACAGCGTTCAGCAGTTCTGGAGCGTTTTTGGAGGTATCGAGTGAGCTTGGTGTGCCAGGGTTGTTAGGGGGGCCTGCTGTGTTTAAATGTACAAGGTGCCATGATGTCTAGTTGAGAGGAGATGGTGGAATTGTAGAAGGAGGTTGCAGAACTAGGACAGGTGAGGTTTGAGATAGGTAAAAGGAGAGTTTGGAGATTAGTGGAGAAATGCTATAGGTCAAGACATTGGAGGTTTCTGTGAGAGTGATGTTCAGACGGTGGTGTCAATTGGGTCTTAGGTGTGCCAATGTCAAAAGTCAGCAGATGGTGGTCAGATAGAGGAAAATTTATATTTGAGAGATTAGAGGCAGTACAGAGGTTGGTGAAGGCAAGATCAAAAGTGTTTCCTGCTGTATGGGTTGCTAAATTGGACCATTGCGTAAGGCCAAAGGAGGAGGTTACAGAGAGCAGACGAGAGGCATCAGTGCAATTGGGGTTATTGATTGGGATATTGAAATCCCCAAGTTTAAGGGAAGGAGTGTTCGATGAGAGGAAGTGGGGAAGCCAGGAAGAAAAGTGCTCAATGAATAGTCTAGGATAACCAGGGGGGCGGTAGATGATAGCAATTCTTAAAGGAGTGGGTTTAAATAGGCGGACAGTGTGAACTTCAAAAGAAGAAAAGGATAGGGCAGGGGGAGTTATGATTGGTTGAAAGGTACATTGAGGGGAGAGAAGGATGCCTACACCGCCTCCTTTACAGTTGAGTCTGGGAGTGTGAGAGAATTGTAGCCCACCAAAACATCTTCAAAGATACCTTTATATTTGTATATTATATTTAATAGCAATATAAATATATATATATTTTTATTTTTTTTAACTGCTCCTCCTAT